AACATCATCAAAACACGAGAGATTCAGCTGGGTTCCAGGTGAGCCTCTCGAAAAACCAAATTAGTTTGCTAATGAGTGTATATTCGCTAATTTCGTGCAATTCGGTTTCAATTAGAACATAAGGTTGACGGAAACCCGGGGACTATACCTACCTGATGAGCCCCGAGAAGGGCGAAACCGGTCTTGGGCTGTCGACGGATTTTCAGCAACCATATGAGTAGCACATTACAGAGATAACTCAAAGGCAATTTCTTCTCTAAGGAATGGAAATCATGTTGAGTCGGCGGTGAGCACTCAACAGTGACAGGCGCTTGTGTATGTTTATGAACCTTAATTATTTAGTGAAATAATACACAACTATCGGGGTAATGTAACGAACAATGTGCTGAGGATCATATCCCTAAGAGCAACTTTCTGGCTGTGTTTAACCTCTAGTAAAGGTAGAAAGGCAGTGGTAAGTGTCCAATCGCTGATTGTACTGCTATCTGGACGTGAGATAAGATCCCTAATTATTGGGGTTTTTGCTGGTTAGGTAATTTGTTCATAGTCACACCACTCTCGTTTGAACGGTCGTATTCCTGTTTTAGCGGGATTATTCTGGTGAGTCCACACCAGAGGAAAGCACTGGACTCGAATTTCGCTCCCATTAGGGCTATTCAGCAGTGCGTATCCAATGGCCTTGCCGGGATTTGAACCCCGAACATCTGACATGCGAGGCGTGCGTGTAGCCACTACTCCACCAACACACTTTGGACGCATCTGAATTTTCACATCTGAAGAGGCGAACGTGTTCATGCTTGAGCAGATGAATAGATGAATAGATTGATCTCATTTGAGGGATGAAATCTCTGCTGAAACATAGGCGATGGCTTCTGCACTTACCTGGGGTCTTAAACTCAGATTAGCGTGACACACGCTTGAAACCCACTGGGCAATATTTTGGTTGCAGTTTTGGGCTTTATGCGAGATAGGTATTTTGTCCATAGTCCAGTGCATCTCTTTGGTGTGGACTCATCGAAATAATTGCGCCAGAACAGGACGACCGTTCAAATGAGAGTGGTGTGGCTATGAATATCTAATTTTTCTTCAATAGTGCAGTGTCCAGCCAGCCATAGCCTCATACTACAAGCTGGTACTTTGGGATGAGGTTTGTCCAACTGTGGGATGCATGTCAGCATCAGAAAAACGCGTGAGGTATCTAAAACTGTCTCCTCAAGTGTTACGATGAGGATCTAGCTGAGTCAGTCGAAGAACATCCGACGACTTTGCTACGTGATTAAGTTAAGGATTTTAGAATGATTCAGGGTATAAACTTCCGATAGGACGAGCTTGTGTTAAGCAACAAATCGTGCAGCCTAAAACGTCGTCAAACACTTGTGTCCTGAATTCTCGTTCCGTCCGCAATCAACCAGGAGCACTTTAACATACGGGTAATAGTGCACAAAGGCCGACCGTCAACCGTAAACTGAGTGAGTTCATTATCTGCGAGAGTAGAGAACGTAGGATGTCTGGGGTTCATCGGATCCACACACAGAGAGATCGAGAAACAACCGAATTCCAGAGAATCAGTGCGGGAAACATTGGAGCAAGCACTCAAACAAGTTGCCAAAGGATTCCCTACTGGCAGGACAGAAACCATTTCAATTGGCTTCAAGGTCAGTGCTGGCAGGGCAACAAAGCTCAGCAACCACGTGATCTGATCGTATCTCAAATAAAGCCGGAGCCTTGGGAGAGTGGCGAACCGGGTTGCCCCAGTCCCTTAAGCCTTGGCCATCTTTGTAAGACGCATGAATGGGGAAGAGTATATAAACGCTTGGGACTCGATTGCACCACGAATTACCTGGACTTATGATGAGGTATTAACTTTCAGACTGTAGGTCTGAATGACGAGGGGAAATTTGTTGTGCTCCCCTCGTAAAGACTTACACCGGTCAAATCGCAGCAGAGACTAGTGAAGCTTGAGAGTGACTGAAGCGAAACAAGGATAGACGACAAACGTTCTGAGAGCCTTTAATTTCAAAAGGTTTGTAAACAATCTGTGGATTTACGCGAGCCTTGTTGAACATTTCAACGTAATCGTCAAACACGCTCGTGTAAAAGTTGCTCCTGGAAACGCAGTCGACTGAACAGCTTTAGGTGCGATCCACAGTAGCAAAGCACAGCCCCGTTTCCGTGCTACAAAGATTCAACTGTACCCTTCCCAAGAAGCTGTGGATTGTGAAAAAACGGCGACAAAGAGAGAGAGAGAGAAGGCATGCAGCATAGTGCAAACAGAATAAACTGACAAGACTTACATCCAACCATCCGAGAGACATGAGCCGTTAACGTTTTCTTCCTCAATTCAGTGCTATCCTCAATTTCACGGCCGATCCATTGAGATTTGACGTCATCTGAGCGCAAATGCAAATTTTTGGATTGAACGATAAGCATGTTAACTCAGAAGACTGACATCTAAGTAAATAGACAGGTAAGTATGTGCAGAACCTCTTTCAAGTAGGCCGTCTCCAGCGGGATGCACATGAATCAAATGGGAAAATCGCACTTTAAAGGAGCAGAAAATCAGTGCGTTTGATAGGGTCCGGAGACATGCATCTATATAGACGACCGCTAATCGGGGGTGAGGGGAGGGGGTCACGTAGCATTCTTCGAACACCAAGGCTGTTGATTTTCTTTACGGAAAAGAAACTGCCAGGATAGTGTGATTTGTAGTCGAAGGAGCTGATGTATTCGGACGAAGATGTCCAGTCCGACCCAGATGTACCAAACAATTGAAATGCCGAACCGTCAGGTCTGCACATCTGAACATCTGCTTACCTGAATGGATGAGATGGACCAAGTGGTTACAGCGCGAATTTGCTGACCGGAAGGTCCATGGTTCGAACCTGACCTCTGCCTCTCGACTTCCCCTGTCTAGGCTTGGGCAACCTGGCAGTATCCCAGCCCTCGTGCTTCCTATCGGTGGCATGACAGCCAGGTACCGAAAGAGTGCTACAACTGAACGATTTATATTTTTTTAAACTGCCACCTGTTGTACGGGCGCTCGGCTGCTGACTGCATACAGCAGACCCTATCGCCGGTAGTGTGAGATTTTAGAACTTTAATGGAGAAGCCGAGAAGCACTGCACAGGTGCTCCATCCTTGTTGGAAATCAGCAGTAGTGAGAATCTCACGAAACTGCAGTAGGGACTGGCGAACCCGCTATCACTTGGCTATTGTTTTGAACACAACTATTTAGCGACGAGCACCTGGTCAGCAATGTGACCAACCCGCATTTGGACGGAATATAGCGCCCTTAAGTCAGGAGGTCCACATCACGTTCTCAAACGTGCAAAGTGATGTCTAAATGCAAACGAAACACATTTCTGACCAGGTGCTCGTGACCGAACGTCTACTATCGGGGAAGTCGCAGTAAGGAGATTTTCTGGAGTTTCGTGAGATGGGCATTGCTGAACATCTCTATGCATAAGTCCTCGGCTTTCGAGCATAGATTGGCCTAGATGAAATGACGAAATTTCCATTTGGAATGTTGAATAATGGAGATCAGCTCACGCGAAGCAGACATGCTTTCCAGCATAGACTGGCTTAGATGAAATGACGAAATCTCCATTTGGAATGTTGAATAATGGAGATCAGCTCACGCGAAGCAGACATATATGCATGCGTATCATACCGTTCATGTCGTATTGGACAGGGATTTCGATCACCCACCGCCAGACTGTGAATAGTCCTTCATATATTTTAGTTAACTTTGTACTAGGAACAAATGCACTGCTGTCAAAGCATCTGACTTTGCACACTTAGCCACAGGAGATCCTGCTAAGATTGCCACAGAGGTTTTCAGCGTCATGGAAAACATGTTCGTGGTAAAAGTTTTAACGCTGGTCTTCGAAGTGCCACAGTTAGGTTGACGAACAGTGACGTGTGAACGAACAGTTTTCATGATAACCGCCCAAAACAGCCACCGTAATATGTTGCCGTTAGTTAGCGAATATACACTCATCTGCAAACTAATTTGGTTCTTTCGAGAGACTCACTTGTAACCCAGCTGAATCTCTGGTTTATGATGTTCTCAGGCAACTGAATGTGCTGCTGCTGTGTTGCCGTTAAGTTAGACATTGAAAACGTGTGATGTTACTGTTTCACATGATATGCGCAGGAGGAGACTGGTTACGTAACCTGTTGGGAAGGAAACGTGACGATGTTTCGCACAGCTGAGACAATCCGCATAACCGATCGACCGCGTTCAAGTAAGAACACGTATGATATACCAGAATCAGGGCATTATGGAATTAGTAGACCAATCAGTCAGACGGGGTTTGTGTGTGTTGGTGAAAATAACTATGAGTTGCTGATGTTGGTCCGCATACGAGTCAAACTCAGTTGTTGTGATCTAACACCCTAGTCCAAGTAACAGAATCAGGTGCCTTCACATCAGTGCTTGTCAATTCTCCCACTGAACTGAACACCTCGCATAGTCTGTGAATCAGATGATGCGGGTGGACAGTCTTCGGTCAGGCCTTTTCACCAGGAAATTTATTGTGGCACACGAAGTTCAAGGTCCCTTGAGGTGTCCGGGACTTTTCTACGCAAGAACAGTATAGTTTAAAGACGTTTTGTATTCAACAGGTTGGGAACAAAGCCTTTCAATCTATCAAGACAGAGCAGTGTAATGCATAGAAGCCCTGAATTACACGAACATTTTCAATCTACGAGTTCCTCCATCATTGGTGTAACGGTGGATACTGCTGATGAGGCATGCGAGTAGTGTCTTCTCGTAAATCCATGAGGTTTGGTTTCCACTGAGGTGTCCGGGACTTTTCTACGCAAGAACAGTATAGTTTAAAGACGTTTTGTATTCAGCAGGTTGGAAACAAAACCTTTCAATCTATCAAGACAGAGCAGTGTAATGCACAGAAGCCCTGAATTACACGGACATTTTCAATCGACGAGTTCCTCCATCATTCGTAGCTTTAACCTGTTCGAATACTATCAAAAGAGACACGTCGCGATGACTCGGTTGCACCATGACACACGCCGGTAGTAACCAATCGGTACTGGTTACCACTGACAGCGGCCACGCTACATGTGATTAACCACTACCAGCCAGTGTATTTACTTGACAGGGCACACTAAAAACCCTTCAACAGCCCGTGACCGGTTTCGCCTTTCTTGGGACTCATCATGTAGGCACAGTCTCCGAGTTTCCGCCAACAGTGAAGTGCACGCAAATGACAATTGAAACATGAGGCGGCAGCACATCCGGTTGGAAAATATCATAAACTACTCAGCGGGGATCCGGTTAGTTCTCCACCGGGAGCCGAGTTAGCTTGCAAATGAGTGTGCCAGCGCGGCCCAGTTGGAAAAACGTCAACTGGAGTTGGGAGCCAGAAAAGCGATCACTGTGATTGGACAAAACGCATGAGTGATCTACATTTTGGACACCTCACCGCTCTCCTGTTTCCACGCGTTGGTACCTGCTCTATGCGTCAGAGAAACTGGTGCAGTGGTTTTCTAGTCACAACCGCGGGAAACGGTGCCAGACCAGGGCAGGATTGATTTAAGTCACAGCCGTCTTGCGACTGTCAGGTCGTACTCGCTTATGGCCAGAAATGGTTACTTCTGGTGGTGCATTGAACTGTGTCCAAAATGTGGATTGGTGGAGTCCAGAAAGTGTTTTAAGCACCACAAACCAGTGGATGGACAAATATGAGAAAGTAAGTAAGTGAATGTACAAAGGGGGAAGATCGGAAAAGCTACAAGTCCCTTCACCTGGAATTTTTTCGGGCGGTCATCACAGTTGCTTTTTCTGTTTTACCATTCTCCAATTTCTTGCGTCTTTCCAGTCCTCTACAATGGATCTGAAGACGAATATAAGATGAAAACAGCCCACACAGAAAATCGTCCAGTTGTAACACTTCTTCGGTGCCTAGCTGCCATGCCACCGAAAGGAAGCACTGCCAGGATGCCCAAGCCTAGACAGAGGAAGTCGAGAGGCAGAGGTCGGGTTCGAAACACGGACCTTCCAGTCAGTAAATTCACGCTCTAATCACTGTGCCATCTCGCCCCCGAAATGACCACATCGTGGTATAGTACCGAAATGAACCGAATACTACGTAACCAAAGTTAACAATAAAGTCAACAGTATACGCGGTACGTGATCGCAGAATGAATCACTTCCAACTATCAATTAGGACGGTTCCCCGCTCCTAACAAGTGGTTCTCACTGCAAAGACGCGTCACTGTCGATCAAAGGTCTTCTGACAACTACGGTCGTAGCAGCCTACTTCATGCGCCGATATGACGTTTTTTACTACAAGTCGGACGATGACGAAAGAGTAGAGAAGACTTAACCTAATTGCTGTTTTCGTACTTCACCAACCTGATAAGCTATACTAGAGGATGCCCATACGGTATTCACCGAGTCTCTCCTACCAGTTTGGTTAGTGGTTAGAGATCTGACTGACAGTGCCTGGTCCTCCGGGTTGGGGGTTGGAGCAGGTGTTTCTTAAGAGTTAAACTACTTTGATAGCTTGTAACGGCCACCACTGCCTGGAAGTAAGGCACTTAACCCAAATGATTTGTTCAAGGGCCATAGTCACCCTCCTGTCTACGTGTTGGCGCCTCAACAGGACTCAAGCCTGTGTACAACTACGAACTCCATAAATAGAGGATACCCTCATACCGAATCGTCCGCAGCATGGTGCCATCAGTGGAGCCTTGCTGCATACAGCAAGACAGGCATGCAAAATCACCTCCACAAATTGACGAAATACGCTCATTTGAAAACAAACTTGGTTCTGCGGGAGACTCATCTGGAATCCAGCTAATTCTCTCGTTTATGATGTTTTCAACTTATTGCTTCTACTCTGTTCCATAAGACTGAGACTACCCTCTCAGGTCACAGCATTAGGACTGACAGCTTTGTTCAGCCGTATAAACAACCTCCGCTCAACACCTCGGAAACGACTTTCAAAGGCTGAGCTACTTAACTACCTTCATTCCAACACTGGAAGAGAAGAATGGTGGTTACGTAACCATCAAAAGTGAGAATTCCAGTAGGGTTTGAAGACCTAAGAAATGACTCACGAAACTAAGCGAAATCTTTCACAATTGCACTGAATTCAACGTGCACCTGAAATAGCAACAACCTTTGTGAACACCTAATGTGAAATTCAGTTAGTAGTAACAGTAACAAAAGGTACTGCTTCGTGGTCGTTTCTGGCCTGCATACCGGTAACACATCCTCTAAGTTAGCTGGCACAGAAAACGAGGATAAACTGCGCACCACTGACATATAGCCTCACTCGTCCCCAATTATGCGTCCCCAAACTTCGAACCCAAGTCCATACAGTTACTGAATATAGATGAACTTTTGAGACCCAATGAATAG